TGTCTTTTCTTGGTCCAAAAAACCTGCTCTGAACTTTTCTATTGAAGGGACAAAAACAAAGACATAATGAGTCTAATTCCGCTTGTATGCGAGCATTTTGCCCTTGTCAATCCTTTGAATTTAATGACTGCCTGAAATGTAGAATTCATGGACAACACCAAATTCTAAGCCTTTATTGCTCACATAGCTTAATTGTGGGGTCTCTCTGCCTTCAGGTCGCTCTTTATTAACTGAAAAGTCTGCTCTTTCTGGGGTTGAGATCGGGTGACTGACTTGGCCATCCAAAATATCAGATTTCTTTGTCTTGAGAAACTCTTGGGTTGCTTTTGCAGTAAGCTTTAGATCGTCATCCGTTTGCAGTGTGAACCTCTGTTTCAGCTAAGCAGAGAGTATAGCTCTGTACACTTCACAATTCATCCTTCATAGACATATGGACCATGCCATAACACTAGCTCCAGCCTTTCTGACAGAAAATCATGGATCACGAGCTTTTTCTCTTGTTCTTCATGTTTTTCTCTTCTTATCATTATGGTAAGAGATTGTTTTCAAAGCCTAATCACTGGTAACCACGGGTTTGTCCCTGGTTGTACATTCTCTGTATTTCTATTTCTATTAGATATGTGCATTTTAGTTGGAGTTGTTTTTCTTAATTATGGAAATAATTCTGTTCTGGTCTTTCAGTCCTTTTGGTGTTACTGCACTGAAGTAGCAGATTGTTGATTTGGCCACTGCCTCCGTCTGTCTGCAATATCTCAACATATCAAACAACACCTTTAACCGCCTTGAATTAAAGCTGAACATCTGCACTTTAACTGACTTAAAATCCACTGTGGTGGTGTACAGAAGCAAAATTACACAAGTTGTGTTTTTGTCTATCAAGTTATGGACCTAACTGTGTAATTTGCTTGCTAATCAAACAGTGTTCGCACAACATTTTTCTATTAATACCAAACCAATAAGGCAGCAGCAACAGCATGACTGAACACACTGTGGATTGTGTTCCTCGTCAGCAGAGGAGGCCTGCTACAGAACCCAGGCATGAGACGTCTGACAGTGATTAACACAAAAATGGCAATTACAGTCGACTTGACAACAAAAGCAGTTTGCCAGTAAATGAAGGAAAATCTGGTACTGGTTCT